GCTCACAGTAGATTCCACCATGGAGTTGATTACCAGTCTCATCATGGGGAATACTACATCCAGCTGCCCAGCCACTCAACCAGGCCCAGCTAATTGACACACAAACTTAACTGCCACACTGACCTTAATGATATGGATAAAGTAGCTTTCAGGACCTCCATTTGCTAATGTGGCATGACTCAAAATGAGAAGAAACAGCCACAAATAATTGGAACATGGAATGTACAAAGTATAAACCCAAGGAAATTGGAAGTTGTCAAAAATGAAATGGAACACATAAAAATTGATATCCTATGATTAGAGAGCTGAAATGGACCAGTTTTGGCCATTTTGAATCAAACAACCATATGGCCTACTATGCTGGGAATGACAAGTTGAAGAGGAATGGTGTGGCATTCATCATCACAAACAATGTTTCAATATCTGTCCTGAAGTACAATGCTGTCAGTGATAGGATAATATCCATACGCCTACAAGTAAGGCCAGTTAATACTACTATTTTTCAAATTTACACACCAACCACCAAAGCCAAAGATGAGGAAATTGAAGATTTTTACCAACATCTGCAGTCTGAAATTGACCGACCATGCAATCAAGATGTGCTGATTATCACTGGTGATTGGTATGCAAAAGCCGGAAACAAAGAAGAATCACCAGTAGTTGGAAAATTTCGTCTTGGTGATAGAAATGACGCTGGAGATCGCATGATAGAATTTTGCAAGACCAGCAACTTATTCATTGCAAATATCTTTTTTCAACAACACAAATGGCAGCTATTCTCATGGACTTTGCTAGATGGAGTGCACAAGAATCAGATTGACTACATCTGTGGCAAGAAGCAGTGGAAAATCTCAATATCTTCAGCCAAAACCAGGCCAGGAGCTGATTGTGGAACAGACCATCAACTGCTCATATGCAAGTTCAACTTGAAGTTAAAGACAATTAAAACAACTCCATGAGAGCCAAAATATGACCTGAAGTACAATGTTGAATATGCCCCTCCTGAATTTAGAGACCGTCTAAAGAATAGATCTGATGCATTAAACACCAAGGACAGAAAAACAGAAATTGTGAGATGACATCAAGAATATCATCCATTAAGAAAGCAAAGTGTCATTAAAAAGACAGGAAAAAAAGAAAAGACCAAAATGGATGTCAGAAAAGACTCTCAAACTTGCTCTTGAATAGAGAATAGCTAAAGCAAATGGAAGAAACAAGATAAAAGAGCTGGACAGAAGATTTCAAAGAGCAGCTCAAGAAGACAAAGTCAATTATTATAATGAAATGTGCGAACACCTGGAGTTAGAAAACTAAAAGGGAACAATATGGTCAGCATTTATCAAGCTGAAAGAATTGAAAAAAAAAAAAAAATCAAGCCTCAAATCGCAATATCATAGTGCCTAAGGCACTTGACTGCTGACCAGAAACCTGGTGGTTCAAATCCACCAGCCACTCCTCAGAAGGAAGGTTAGACAATCTACTTCCATAGTGATACCACCTCGGAAACTCAAGGAGGGGTCACTATGAGTTGGGTCCGACTCCACGGCACATAACAACAACAACAACAACAACAAGGGCAAAATATTGAATGATGTAGGAAACTTCAAAAGAAGATGGAAGGAATACACAGAGTCACTGTACCAAAAAGAATTGCTCAATGTTCATCCATTTCAGGAGGTGGCATATGGTCAAGAACCAATGATATTAAAGGAAGAAGTTGCAGTTGCACTGAAGGAAGTGGTGAAAAACAATGGTCAAGGAATTGACAGAATATCCATTGAGATGTTTCAAAAAATGGATGCCATGTTGGCGTCACTCAATCAGCTGGGCCAGGAGATTTGGAAAACAGCTACCTGGCCAACTGACTGGAAGAGATCCATATTTGTACCCATGCCAAAGAAAGGTGATCCCACACAATGTGGAAATTATCGAACAATATCATTAATATCACATGCAAGGAAAATCTTACTGAAGATAATTCAAAAACAGTTGCAGCAGTATATTGACAGAACTTCCAGAAATGCAAGCTGAATTTAGAAGAGGACATGGAACGAGGGATATCATTGGTGATGTCAGATGGATCTTGGCTGAAAACAAAGAATACCAGAAAGATGTTTATTTGTGTTTTATTCACTATGCAAAAGCATTTGATTGTGTGGAACATAACAAATTATGGATAACCTTGAGAAGAATGGGAATTCCAGAACACTTAATTGTACTCATGAGAAACCTGTATATAGACCAGGTGGCTGTTGTTTGAACAGAACAAGGGGATACTGCATGGTTTAAAATCAAGAAAGGAGTGGGTCAGGGTTATGTCCTTTCACCACTTATTCAATCTGTATGATGAGCAAATCATCTGAGAAGCTGGACTATATGAAGAAGTGCATGGCATCAGGATTGGAGGAAGAATCATTAACAACCTGTGATACACAGATGACACAACTTTTCTTGCTGAAAGTGAGGATGACTTGAAGCACTTACTGATGAAGGTTGAAGACTACAGTCTGTAGTATGGATTACATCACAATATAAAGAAAACAAAAGTCCTCACAACTGGACCAATAAGCAGCATCACAATAAACAGAAAAAAGATTGAAGTTGTAAAAGGCTTCATATTACTTGGTTCTACAATCAGTACCAATGGAAGCAGCAGTCCGGATTTCAGATGACGTATAGCACTAGGCAAATTGCCTGCAAAAGACCTTTTTCAAGTGCTAAAGAGAAGGAATATCTCCTTGAAGACTAAGGTGCACCTGACACAAGCCATGGTATTTTCAATCGTCTCATATGCATGTGAGAGCTGAACAATGAATAAGGAAGACTGAAGAAGAATCAATGCTTTTGAGTTGTGGTGCTGGTGAAGAATGTTGAACGTACTGTGGATTGCTAAAAGAACTAACAAATCTCTCCTGGAGGAAGTACAGCCAGAATGCTCCTTGGAAGCAAGGATAGCCACCTACTTTGGTCATGTTGTAAGAAGAGACCATTCCCTGAAGGATATCATGCTTGGTAAAGTGGAAGGTCAACAAGAAAGGGGAAAGCCATCTACAAGATGGATTGACACAGTGGCTACAATGATGGGCTCAGGTATAGAAAGGATTGTGGAGCTGGCACAGCACTGGGTAGTGTTTCGTTCTGCTGTATATATGGTAGCTATGAGTCAGGGACAATTCGTTGGTGCTTAACAACAACAATCCATGCCATTAAATTCAACTTGACTTTGAAGAGGCAGCCCTTCCCTAGTCTTATTTTAAGTGCCTTCAAACCTAAGGGACTCATCTTCTGGCATTATATCAGACAATGATTCACTGCTAGTCATAAGGTTTTCAGTGGTGATTTGTTTTTTTAGAAGTGGACTGCCCCTTCCTTCTTCCTAGTCTGTGTTAGTCTGCAAGCTCCACTGAAACCTGTCTACCATTAGTGACCTTGCAATAATTAGAGGGAGAGAGCTGGTATTTGAAATATCTGTAGCATAGTTCCCAGCATCACAACACGTGCAAGCTACCATAGAACAGACTGACAGATGAATGGTGAGTCCTTTGGGTAGTACTGACATTTTTACAATATTCAAATGTCTGACCAGTGAGTATGGTATGTTCTTCCATTTAGGTAGGTCTCTTTTAGTTTGTTGTAGTAGCATTTTATAGTTTTCTTTGTGTAGGTCTTTTATGTCTTTGGTATGTACATATCTTATCTTTTTGTAGCTGTTGTAAATGGTATTGTTTTCCTTATTTCCTTTTCAGAGAGCTCTTTGTGGATGCAAAGGAATCTGACTGATTTTTATATGTTGATCTTGTAACTTGCCACTTTGCTCAATCATTCAATGAGTTCCAGAAGTATTCTTGCTGAGTCTGTGGGATTTTGTATGTATAGGATCATATCATCTGCAAGCAGGGATGGTTTTGTTTTCCTTCTCATTGCCATCAAGTCGGATTCGACTCATAGCAACCCCTCCTTGGGTTTCTGAGGTGGTATCACTACAGAAGTAGATTGCCCAGCCTTCCTTCAGAGGAGTGGTGGGTGGGTTTGAACCACCAGCCTCTGGTTAGCAGTCACATCCAGCACTACACCACCAGA